AAAAAAAAAAAAAAAAAAAAAAAATTGTAAAAATGCCACGTAGACTAGCCGGTAAAAATGACCTGCTTTTGCCGGTGACATGACCATTTCTCACGATTTTTGCCACTTACGGGACGTGATCCAAAAGTGGGTATCGGAGAGGACCAAACCTCAAATAGGTACCACTTACAGGACGAAATCTCCAATTTTTCCTAAAATTAAACAACAATCATTAATACATATTTTTACAAAACAAAATATTATTCATCCACTCACGTACTTCTGACTATAAATAAATTAAATATTAATATTATATTATTTGCATATAATATTTACTTTAATCGTTATAATTCTATCTCATACACATTTAGATATTAATTAATCCTTAAATTTATTAAAAATATATTTTATACTGTTTCTCATTTTTTCGAATCATGCAATTTTTTTGGAAAAAAGAAAATCTTATATACAATCGCAGGCTAAATTGGACCCAAACATTAATATCTCAAAGAGTAATGCTACGTAATCAACCTAGTGTACAATTAGTACACTAGATTGACAATGTAGCATTTTCTATCTCAAATTCTAAATGGTTGATCCTATGGCGCGATAGACGCATATAACCTTATGGATGCCAACCTCTAATTGGGAAAATTTTCATTTTAGAGCGAAAATAGAAAATATCTTGAACTTTTATAATTTGATTTTACTTGGAAATTTGATAGTGGCTGCCTGAAAAGAAAAGTTTCAAGATGAAACAAAAATCTTCAATTACATTAACGAAAAGTCGCTAATCGAACAAGAAAATTTTTAGAGGATTTTTTGAGTTCATAAAATGACGAACGAAATCATGTATAGGTTATCACATTTTTGATATATCGTCATTTATAAATCAAACCTATATATGTTTGATTCGATAGGTTTACACATTAATTTGGAATTGATACCCACCTTGTATATTACACTATCTTTTTTACCCAACCGAGCAATAACAATCCAACGATGAACTTACGATCTAGCAATCTAAAGGTTAATCAGAGTCGTGGTCCTCGTGGACCGGTTTGAACTTCTTGCATGAAGAAGTTCTTATTACACCTAACCTAAGTCAATTTCTCTGTGATTTAGTTGATTGTACATAGATTGTACATAAAATATAACCCCACCTCATTAAATTTGATACTTTGACTTATGAATCGTACCCTAATTCTCAATAAATAAATAATAAAGTGGACTTTTTTTTTTTGGGTTACAAATAATAAAGTTGACTTTGACTACGGAAAATGTAGTCTAATTACATGTATAGGCTATTGGTGTTACGGACCTACTGTCGTACTCGTGCCATGTCAGCAAATATTTTTGGCTTTTCTTTTTTTTTTTTTTTTTCAATTTTCAATTGCCTTCGATAGTAGTTCTCTTTAATTTGGTTAAACAAATACCAAATCCAATAAATAACAAATCTATATTAACAACCCAATAAAATATAATTATGCAACAAATTATTAATAGCTAAAACACTTTTTTTCGTTGTTTCTGCTTTTTGTAAATGTCAATACAATGACTAAAAATCAAAGGCGAAGCCTGTACATTCTGTTTAAAATAAAATAGTCTCGTATATTACATGTGGACGTGGTTCACAGATAACGTTTTTAAGATAAACCAACGTGTACAGAGGCAATTCAAACGAACATTAATACTCGAATTTTGAAACTATCAAGATAGAGAAAAAAAAAAAAAAAAAAGATGTTTTATGAACTTTTTGAATATTGCAAAAGAGTTATTATATGATATTTGAATGGTTTCATGTTCACGGTATTTATAGATGTTGCTGGACATATATCCAAGGAGTTTATTGTGTCAAAAGGCATCTTTCAGGTCATGCTCGATAGTCCAAAAAGTTATAACCTTGTCAGCGCGAGTAGGTTCGTCCAGGCCGTGAGCTTGCTGCACCAAGTGATGGGTTGTTGAAGATGTTGCGCCCAAGACGCTCCGCGCCGCTAGTAAATGTATCACGAATTTATAACCTTACTCGAGCAATTGCTAGTAAATGTATCACGAATTTGTATGTGAGGCAACATGACCGTAGAAACATCGACCTCTCATACTCATTAAATAAAAATGCATATATGTATTATCAAATGGTCATATTTACATTTGTATTGATACTTAAGTATGACATTTTATTTTATACTGAAAAGGGTGTATTCAATTATGATTTTTAAGGACATGTTAAGACTTTAGAAATCCTACTGCATTCAATTTAGATTTGTTAAAACTTTTAAAAATACTGGGATATTCAATTGGGATTTTCAAAAGTCTAACAAAATTCTGAAGTATTTAATTTATTTGACACTAGGATTTATTAAGAATTATTAAGATTTGATGGAATTTATAAATAAAAAACTTTATACGAAATCTCACCTCAACTCCGACCTCAAGACTTGAGATTTCATAGAATTCTTCCCAAATCTGAAAGGAAAATGCTACAAGTACATAACAAATGTACATAGAGATGTACATAATACTCAAATGAAATGGGGTCCACTTAATTTTTTATTTTTGGTGGGTCCCACTCAATATGAGTATTATGTACACCCATATACAATATTATGTACCTATAGCATTATTCAATATGAAAATCCTAAAAAGACTCAAATCTAAAAATGTTTCTTAAATTCCCAATTAAATACACCCTATAAATATGATATACGTAAGCTTAATAGAACATTGCATTCTATAAATACTACATCATAATTAGGCGTGTGGCAGCCACACTCATCTACAAGCAATGAACAAACACTATTTCCAATTCATAAGCAACTAAACTTTTTAAAGCCCCTCTAATGGCTTCCAACCAATCTCAAAACCCTTACTCCAAACTCTCTCTCTCAATCGAGGCTCCACCGCTACCACCAGCCGCCGCCGCCGACCATCTTGACTACTCAAAACGAGCCCAGTGGCTCCGTGCCGCCGTTCTCGGCGCCACTGACGGCGTCGTCTCGACCGCTTCCCTCATGTTAGGCATCGGCGGCACCGCCGCCGCCACACGGGCGATGGTCCTTACTGGCTTCGCCGGCCTTGTCGCCGGAGCCTGCTCCATGGCCATCGGCGAGTTCGTCTCGGTCTACTCGCAGCTCGACATCGAACGGGCCCACACCAGAGGAGACGGGCTGCAGGGGATCCCGCCGCCAAACCCGATGCAGGCGGCAGCGGCTTCAGCACTGGCGTTTGCGGCTGGGGCGGCGGTGCCGCTAGCGGCAGCGGTGGTCGCCGGAGGGTACGGTGTTAGGGTTGGGGCGGTGGTGGCGTCGGCCACCGTGGCGCTGGCGGCGTTTGGGTGGATCGGGGCGGTTTTGGGTGGTTCGCCGGAGGGGAGGTCGGCAACGAGGGTGCTGGCTGGAGGGTGGCTGGCCATGGCCGTCACGTTTGGGCTCACGAAGCTGGTTGGGTCCAAGGGCCTTTAATTTGATGAACTATATAAAGGAAGAATATTAAAATTAAATAATTAAATTGCAATTGTACAAGTTTAGTTAAGAAATTAATCACCTCTGTTGTACTAATGCTTCACATACAAGTATCTTATGTATGCTTGTGTGTACTACCTTTTTTTTTTTGCCTTTAGCAATTGTTTGTTATTTAAGCTTGAGATGATAATTATCTTTCAATATATAGTAATCAATTATTATTAAAGCTAATATATACAGCTATTAAATTTTAGAGTGAAGTCGATCAATCAAACTTTTCGAAAACAATGCATACTTATATAGTTGTTTATATATCGCATTTTTCTTAGCCGAGTGACCAAATCCACGTATGTTGAACTCATTGAAAAGGCGGAAAAACGTTTAGCTGGGTGGAAGGCTTCGACTCTCTCTATGGCGGGGAGGGTGACATCAGCCCAATCCGTTCTGAATTCGTTGTCGTACTTCTCCATGCAAACGGTCTCTTTGCCACATAGGGTGTGTGATATCTTGGAACGAAAGTGTCGGAACTTTGTATGGGGTGGAACGGCTTCGGCCCGAAAAATCAGTCTGGTGTCTTAGTCTGATGTTTGTCGCCCAAAATCGGAGGGGGGGTTAGGCATGAGGGAGCAAAGGATTATGAACAAGGCCATGCTTATGAAGTTGGCCTGGTATTTCCTCACTAAGCCGAGCTTGCTGTGGTGTCGAGTTCTACGAGCAAAGTATCAGCTTCAACCCTTGGAGATGGGGGCAGATTTCGAATTCCCACAGGGCTCTTCGGTTCTTCAGGCGATCAGAGATGTATGGAAGGAGACGATTGAGGGATGTCGCTGGTCGCTTGGTAATGGTCGGAGTGCTCAGTTCTGGTGGGACCGGTGGTTGAATTTCCCGGATCTGTTGATTAAATTCGCGACGGGTCCTGTTCCGGAATTGATGTTGCATGCTCCAGTTTCTTCATATGTCCGGTCAGATGGTAGCTGGGATTGGCCCGCATTTCAAAGCTTATTACCGGCAACTTGTCTATTACGGATCTCGGCTGTGCCGCCACCACAAGCTTCTTCTGCTGAGGATGGCCTTTTCTGGGGATGGTCGACCGATGGTAAATTTACGGTGCGGTCTGCGTATTTGGCGCTAACTCAGCCCGGTGACCGGAGCGCCGAGAGCTTGTGGCGAGCCATCTGGCAGAGGGTCGGCCCTCAGCGGGTCCGCCATTTCCTTTGGCTGGCCGCCTGCGATAGTCTGTTGACTAATGAAGCTCGCCGCCGAGACATCTTGCTGAACACGCAAGCTGCCCGGTGTGCTCGATGGACATTGAAACCACGATTCACGTACTCCGTGACTGTGATGTTGCGAGGGAGACATGGGAACACTTGGTCCCGCGAACCAGATGGTGCAGATTCTTCTCTTTGCACCTTCGGTCTTGGATTTCAAGAAATTTAAACGGCCGACTAATTCCGGAGGTTAAAGATTGGGAGACAATGTTCAGTATTACGGTATGGCGATTGTGGCGCTAGCGGAACCAAAAAGTTTTTGAAGGTACAGACACGACGGTGGTCCACAGGCTTGGCGAGATCCGCTCGTTTGCGGGAGGGCTTCATTGTGCTCAGGCCACTAGTGGCAAACTCGGTGTCGGCGTTCTGCGGGAGATTCGAGGGATAGCTTGGTCCTTTCCGGCGGTGGGGGAGCTTAAAGTCAACACTGATGGTAGCTTTGTCCCTTCGACGGGGATGGCGAGTGCGGGTGGATTATTCGTGATAATCTTGGTAATTGGGTTCGAGGCTTTGTGATGAATATTGGGTTCTGCTCGATTATGGGAGCCGAACTTTCAGGATTATTTCAGGGGCTGCAGCTGGCTTGGATATTGATGCACGTAACATCACGGTAGAGGTTGATAATCAGAGCGTTGTTACGATGATTCACCAAGATGACTCTAGTGGACCGTATGGAAGTCTTTCGAGATGCATTTAGGACCTTCTACGTCGACCATGGACTGTGAAGCTTCTTCATTGCTACCGTGAAGCGAACTTCGTAGCGGATTTTCTGGCCTCGTTAGCGGCCCAAGGACCGGGTGGCCTGCATGTTTTGGAACGGCCTCCTCCGGGGGCAGGGTTATGGCTACAACATGATATTGCTGGTGTGTCTCATCCTCGTCGGGTGCCGACATAATCGAGCTCTAGGCTTTGCCTCCTTTTTTGTACCAAAAAAAAAAAAAATATGTCCACGTGTCACCCAGCCCGGTCAGACCTATGGTCAACGGGTCTGACCCCAGATTCAAACCGGGCTAGTTCATAGTCGAGTGTTTGTAACATTTCATCTGGCGAGCTGGCCAGGCTCGAGAAATTAACGTCCGATTTGTTTTCCAATTTTTTTTAAAGACGAGGGACAGATCTAGGTCTGGCCCGCCAAATAGTATACCCGGTCCGTACCTAGGTACGGGCCGTCGGCCATTTCGAACTCAGAGACCCACAACCCCGCTCGGGATCAGCCCATGTCTAAAAATACAACTATATTTCAATTCCTCCTAATCAAGCATATCTATATATCTATATGATTACGGACAAGCTTCAATAAATTTTATTCAGCCAACAATTTATAATAATAATTTTACTTAATAATAATCTTTATGACAAACCTTAAAAAAACAAAAAGCTGATATATATATGTAAGTTAAATAATTTATATTTACATATAAATTTACATATAATCAAAATTTTAAAATTATACACACTTTATCTAATTTTTATTTTTAAATATCACATACATACATATAATATATAAATTTTCGTTTCCCTCTTTGCATTGCATGTGATCGAGTACTAGTAGTATAGAACGGGCAAGAGGCTAATAAAGGCCATTCATCCCAAACTGACCAACAGAAGCTATGTTCTTTCATTATTACCAAAAAAAAAATAAAAAAAAAATAAAATAAAATAAAATAAAAAAAAAAAAGTCATTTTGCAGATTAAGAAGCTGAAAGTGAGGGGAAAGAAAACTTATACAATCTGATTATTTTTGCTCTTCAGCAGCATACAATGCTTTGATCTCTTCAACATCGTCATAGCTACCGAGGAATATCGGCGAACGCTCGTGTATCTTTGTCGGAACCAAATCAAGTGCCTACAGAAAGAGAAAAAAAAAAAAAATATATATCATTTTGAGCTTTTAGAAGAAAACACAAGAATAAAATGGTCTCAACTTTTATACACATACATATATGTATGAATCATTGAATCCCTTAAAAACATTTTCATTTTCGCCTTCTAATCGACACTTTTGGCTTCTAAAGCTTTTTATTTTTTAATTTTTTGTTATCTTTGATTTACATATTGTCACTACATTTGGGAATTTCGAAATCTTACCCTCTGCTTTCCGGTGAACGCTTGTCCTCCGGCTTGTTCCATTAAAAACGACATGGGGAAAACTTCATAGAGGACCCTGTTTCACAAAATTACCTATGTTTAAATCTATTCCTTTTTTATTTTAACGAGTTAACCGCGCTTCAAATTACGTAAAAAGGTTACCTCAGCTTTCCATTTGGGCTCTTCTTATCGGCTGGGTACAAAAATATGCCTCCGTAAAGCAACGTACGGTGAACATCAGCAACCATGCTGCAAACCGAGCACATAAACAAAAGGTATTTATACTTGTAAATTAAAAATATCTATCTGGAATTATTCGTTTTAGTTTTTAATATGCAGTTTGTTCCCAGCAAAAACCTTCTCCAATATGTTGGTTACATTTTTGCTAATTAACACCCATTTTTCAAATGACAAAATATATATTTTTTTTAAAAAAAAAAAACTATAGTTTTGTCCCATGTTTGAATCATTATGTACCTTCCAATGTATCTAAGGGATTTTGAAGGCGATGCATCTTTCGGAAACTTGCATTTTTCGACATACCTGCCATTGATTACAATTATAAGATATTACAATAAAGGAAAGAAAAAAAAAAAAAAAAAAAACGAGACTGCTATATTAGTCTCATATTTTCAGATGATATACTTTGCTGTTGGGCCATCCCAGTTCTTGGCATTTCCTTCATTAACAGAGTAAATTTTTCCCTTTTTCGGAATCTGTAACAATAAAAAACATCCGGCATCTATTAATCCCCCACAAGTTCCAACTTATTGTTTAAACCGAGCAATTATAGATGTTACTGCAAAAAAAATTGACCTTAATATCTGGATGAGTCAGTATGAATTCTCCAAGAGACGGATCTAGCGTGAACCCATTAACTCCAGATCCAGTGCTCAACACAAACTGCAAACACAAAAACCACACGGAACGAGAAAATTCATCATAACATTTATTCATCAATCAATGTTCACGGATGATCATGCGTCACTTTTAGAACAGATAATATAGTTCATACCGTGCAAGAGCTTCCATACATGCAATAGCCAGCAGCTAACATATTCTTCCCGGGCTGCAACACATCTTCCAATTTCGGATCATGCCCATCATCGATTGCATATATGCCAAAGATCTGGTGAAAAAGACAAAGCTTATACAAGGTTATATCGAACATTATATATCACAAATTTCTCTGAGAATTTTTATTTTTATTTTTTACATGATCCAACTATCAATCCAGGTGAAAAAACGTACAGTCCCGATTGAGACACCACAGTCGATATTAGAAGACCCGTCCAGAGGGTCGAACACTACGCAATACCTACATTTTCAGAAAAAAAATTACGATCTCTTTCATTACAATTATTACAATAAACCTCAATATTATCTTTTCTAGTCAAGCTTGCATCGCAATCGAAAATACTTGGATATAGAACATGAGATTGAATGGAGGAAACATACTTTCCACGCTTAGAAGGCTCAACGAATGTAGCCTCCTCGTCTTCTTCAGAGACAAGTATGCACTGCAAAGTAACACAAAAAACCTCCTTAGCACAAACCATCCCTTTTAGCCTCTAACTACATATACTATATTGAAAAAAAATTTCAGCCACATACAGTTCGGCCGCTACTGACTAACGCCTTGAT